AATTAGGGACGGCTAGCGCAGATAGCCCTCGTGTAGCTTTGCGCGAAATTCAAAACAAACAAACGAACCATGAATGTACTACGTAGATTTTGTTTTTTGGTATATACTTCTCTTTTTTTTTCGTTCGTTGTTCAACATAAAGTTTTTTGTGAGTGAGCGGGTGTATGATCACAGTTTCAAATATGGCGCCCCCGAGATCCTAAGAAGTGGAGGACGCAAGAACACAAAATCCGATACGAGATTCAGGTTCAGTGATCCTGAAAACCTGCTCTTAGACCCCCAACATGCCTGGATGACTTTCTGGGAGCGTGTTAGCCACCTTTGGTATGGGCGCTACGACATATAGTTAAAAACACAACTAGGGCCACCCCAAATCCACCTACCATTGATTCACATTGTAAAAATCCCCTTTTTGACATTTAATATACAGAAAGCTCAATGGTGGCACACATTATCTAAGCACTTAATACCTACATCAAAAGGAAGGACTGCATTACACACAGAAACACGAAACCTATTTTGAAGTAAAAAATATTTATAATATAAATGAATGTTTATGTTTATTTATAATTAAGCACAAAGATACACAATGGGCTATCTGTGCTCTGCCCACCACGGGTATCGAAACCCGGTTTCTAGCATTGTAAGTCCGCAGACATACCGCTGTGCCACCGGGGGGGGGGGCTATAAATGAAGTATTAACCGAAACAAAACAAAGTCATCAAGGCACATGTGTGGTAAAAATACTATTAACCTCTTCTCGCAAAACCTCACATTTTAAGAAAAAATGATGAAAGAGCAAGATGTGGGTGCTCAAACCTACAACGTCCCACATCATTATTGGCCTATAATGCCTAAAGACAGTTGTGGGAAGGTGACTGTTATCGGGGGAAAAAAAGAAAAGAAAATTCTACCATTGGGGTGGTGAGTAAGAAAACCTTAGCTCCTGAAGTCGGCGTTTCAATCACCATTATGGTAGTAGAATCTCAAATTAATAAGTTAATATTAGTAGCATAGCAGACAAGTTATATTACGATAAAATACCTACTAGTTTAGACAACTCGGCTTGTTTTAAAATATATGTATTTTTATATACACACACATATATATACGCACGAAGGTACAAGCTGAATTGATATATAAGAGTATTAGAGTATAGTGATACAGTAACATTGAATTGAACGCCAAGGCTAGATTTTAACTTGAAAACTGGCCATTGACGTTATTAATACATGTATATTTAGCTTAGTTTTATATCTTTAGAACAAAGAAATATTGAAAGAGCCCAATAAGAATTTGATACTTTTGTAATATGTGAAATATTTACTTTTGTTGTAGTTTCCAAGATTTCGTGTTACGAATGTGACTCAAGGATTGATTCACGTTGTAAAGATCCCTTCAACTACACAGCTCGTCAGAAAGACCTCCCTCCTCTTCATGAATGTGAAGGATGTTGTGTCAAGATAGTGACAGATAATAGAACTCGTACGAAATAGTTTTATACTCCATTCAAACTGCTGGTTACAGTCTCGTGACATAACCCGCCATTCTACATGAAGGTAGTTCAGGAGTTATTTGATCTACCTCTGGTAGATGAGCAAGAATCGGATCAAAATTTGTCTCCATTTGCCTTTAGGACTAATAATATGATTGGTTATGCATGGAAATTAAACATTCTCTTTAAATTTAACATACATGAATTTCTCTGCGTGTACGTTAATTATACTCTCTATGAACGTTCATACGTTACTTCAATTTTTTGACATTTAATATATAAAGAAAGCTCAATGGTGGCTCGACGATAAGCTTCAGGGCTTATAACACTAAAATTCGGTGAGCTCAGTGCAGAGAGTCCATTGCTTACGTTTGCGCTAATTTAAACAAATAAAGGTTATAAAAAGTACTAACTCGATAGAGTAAATGGCATTGTTATGTCACGACATTGTGCGTGAAGATTTTTCTTCTAGAGAAAAGTTTTAGATTGAACCATTTCGAAAACATGTTGAGCTTAGAAATCAGAACTATTTCTGTAAGATTAAATAATGTTTTTTACAAGATGTTTCATTAATCATTGATTAATCTTAGAAACTTATACTAATCACAGTCATTAAAGTCTTGTTGTAACAGTAAATGGCATAAACTTATTAATTTATTACAAATTACTATTAATATTATATGCTTGTTATTTATTACCAGAGTTTGTTTTATTATTTTTTTTCTATTAAAAAGGTATTTTGCGAAAATAAAAAGTGCTTAGCGGTAAACTGTTGATTCTAACTACAGGTAGCGTTGTTTCCTTTGTTATCGAAGAATGTTTTTCTATATACACTAATTCTGTAATACCTCCTTCAGAATACAATATGTTATAGTTATTTATCTGTGATACGACGAAATGCTTAGCACTTTATAACAACCATGCTTTTGATCTCTTTAAATACCTTAATATAAATGCATTCTTAGTTATATTTAATATTAATGAGATCTCCTTTATTATCAATATACAGCTGGTCCATTGAATAATTTACAAAAACATTCAATCTAATCTTATTCTTTATTACTTCAGAGGGCGTAAAATCAGCAACTTGGTTATACACTTAGGCTACAGTTTTGAACTAAACAACGGCTTATTATATACAAAGTATTTCAAGTGTACTGCAGTATCATATTTTGAGAACTGACCTAGATGGAATATTAAACCAGATGAGAATTGGTATACGTTTGTTTCAGGCTCTTGTAGTTCTTATCCGATATTATTATATAATAAAACACAAAGCTTAAATCAAAGGAGAAATCACTTAGAATTAGGCTTATGTATTCTTGTAGTTTAAATATCAGTGCATTAACAAAGAAACAAAATGGAACTCTACGATCTTTTAAAATATAACTAATAACTAAACATTTGCTTGATACCTTTAGTGATGCATATGTTTTGTAGGCAAAATTCCTCCACATGGATATCACAATTCCTCTTCTGGTTTATAATTATTTTGTATGCTAAGTGATATCCAATATGAAGCTAGGATGCATCAAAATTTCAGGCCTTATAAGCACCTGATATAAGGAAATTAAATGTGAATTGACCATTGGACTCCAAATGCGAGTAACAAATTAAATCATTAATAGAGTACCTAAAACCATCGATACTGACAATATTGGAAATACATCGCTGGGATAGATCGTGCACATTCTTTGAAGCCGGATATAAGATAACAATCATGGCAGAATAACCTAGCCAGAATCGTAAACACTTGTGGTTTCTTGTTTTTCAAGTGGAACACTTAATCTATATGTCGCAAATTTTCAGCCAAGGAGTTTGCTGATTTAACCCTTGCACTTTTGTTTTATTTTGTGTGGTCACTAATTCAATTCCTTTTTGTAATGTTTTTATAATGTATGTTTATTTTTTACTTGTGGTATATGTCATTTAAAATGTTTAACAAATGTTTCAGCCCACGAAGTTATCCAGAGAACGTGTACAGCGAAACTCCAGATCAACCTGTTTCTTGTGGACCACGTGTGTATGAGTGAATCAGACTACTCTGGTTTCATGTGCTTCTGTGAATCTGACAATTGTAATTCAGCTCCACATCAAATTAGAATGAATAATTATCTACTTTTTGCATTTTTATTTTGCCTTTTCTACCACACAATGCTGTGATAGACACTTTAGAATATAGGTTTTTTTTTCACTAGCTATAAAAAAACCTTCCACGTAGGCATTCAAAAACTAGACATTCAGCTGTGTGGACTTTCTTTTAGAAATTATGAGAACAGCTCAAGTTATGCATTAGATGACTACTGGAACAATCAATGATAACTATTGGAACTCGGAGATAGGTAATTATACAACTTGCTTGATAAGCTTTGCTTTCAGTGACTTTAATCATTCCAGAGCATTAAAAGTAATAAGCACATGTATATAGTTATACATATTTTTAAACTTGTATTTTTAGATTAGGAGTTGTTGCTGTATGGCGCGATGAGGGCATTTGATGAAAGCAGACTTTCAATGATAGATACGTAAACGTTGATGGGTTTGCTCTAGGGGAAAATATATATAGCCTAGTCATTCTTTCTTCTGTACAAAGTTATTAAAATTGTGTAGTGTTAGCTCTACTAAATTATCGATTTGAAAATTTATATCTTCTGGTTTTTAACAGTAAGTTTTTCTGAAAGTTTTAGTTGTTCTGCTCTTCTTAGTGAGTCCTAAGATATTAATCTGCAAAATTAAAAATGGATTACGAATACATATTATAACCTACTCACATAAGATGCTATGTAACTCTACTCTTAACTTACATTTTTTTTAATAGTAAGGGCAAAAAAAAAATAGATGTAAAAAATACTCATTAGAAATAGATATTCAGCATGTTTCTCAGTCGTTTTTCATTAAACATTTATATTTATGCACATTTGTAAGCGAAGTTTTAACCATCCTAGAAACTGAAATACACAGGGAAGTTAGAAGAATTTCTTGATGAACTGTAATTTTACTTTTATTTTACGTAAGTAATTTTTATCTTAATACTTCTTTTATATTATGTCAATTAACTCATAGATTATGTTAATTTGTTTTACATGTGCTCGAACTTTTAAACTTAATCCCATATAGAAATGCGCTTCAAATAGATATAAAGTGTTCATTGTGTTACGTATATGAATTTCGAATGGTATGAAACCGAGTTAAATGATACTTTAAATTTAGTAGTTAAATTGTATTTTGGATTTAGCAGTTAAGTAAAAGCTGATATATAGTCAGTTTATGATATTTGCCAAGAAGATTGATACACACAATTTTTTTTAACACAAATACATTTTAATATACACACAACAATACAATTTACAATAACGGTTATTACAAATAATGATTTATTAAACAAAAGTTTCACAAAC